CCAGCACGGCCACCCCAACGGCGGCTCCAACCCACGTGCGGGGACCCAGCGAGAGCTCCCCAAACTCCGCATTGCAAAGACTAAAAAATGGGCGTTGGGTGATGACGAGAGGCTCCTTTCTTGGCACGGACAGACCGATGCTGAGGGCTGGCTGGCTTCGGCCAAAAAGCCACCAAAGTCACTTTGGTGTGTCCAGCAGCACCTGGCTGCTCGGGGGCTCGGTCATAGGGGCCTCAGTTTGGTCCTCTCCTGGTCCTTCACCCCGTGAAGGTGCCCGGTGCTCAGCAGCAGCACATCCACAGCCACGTGCCCGCAGCAAGTCCCCAGAAGTGCCTGGATGAATCGGGTCAGCGAGCTGGCTCCTGCTCTGCTTGGAAGCGTAAAGACCACGCGACGAGCTGGGGAAGGTCCTCCATCATTTTCTGGGGTAGAGGTGGGGTTTTCTTCTCAATCATGAGCTCCTTCTAGAATTTGGCCTTCCTGCAGCTGGGCTGATGCTGACGTTGGGGAGGCGCTGCCCTGGAAATTCGGAGGCAGGACGCTGACCCCAGGCCTCTCCAACAAGCGTGCGCTCCTCAGCTCCCACACTGAGCAGAAGACCAGTCCCTCAGTGTAATGACCGCAGCTCACTTGGGGTTATTTCATCAAAACCGACGTCAGCATCCCCTCCGTGGTGCTCTGGCATGGCCTCTGCCCAATTCATACCCCTCAAAAAGGAAACGTTCCTCATCCTCATCCCGAAACAGGCACCGAAAGGCCCTAACCGAGCATGCTGCCAGCAGCTAGACGCTCTCCTCGAGGGCTCTTAACAGCCTCCAAGAAAAAAAAAAATCACACAAACAGGAAACGGAGCCAACGTCCAGCCCTGGAGCAGCAGCAGGTCCCTGCCAGAGCTGGACCCGGTGCCACGGTGCGGTTCTTCGAAGCACGGCTGAGTTCTTGTGCTGCTCCATCCCATCACCCGCGGGGATTTTGGGGATGAAGGCGCACCCGTGGCCAGAGCAGGGGCACCATTCGTGGCGGCACCAGGGCCGTGCTGGGCCTCCCGCTGCCTTCCCCCAGTAGAGGCAGAGCTGGAGCTGGGGGGGCCCCAGCCCAGGGACCCCCTTGCAGAGCAGGAACGCGCCAGAAGCGCCCGGGGCTCGCAGCCACAGAGCACTGGGAAAAAGCCATCGCTGCGGGAAGGCGGCTTGGAAACTTTGGCCGCTTCTAAAATAAACGCCCATCCCCTCCAATCGAAGCAAAAAGCTACTTCCAGCCTCTAGCGATCTTCGGGGGGGAAGCAGCGCGCCGGCGCTGCGTGCCGAGCACAGAAGTTTCTTTCAACCAAGTGATGCAAAGCGAGGCAGGATTCCGGATTGCAAAATAAATAAAATCAAAGCCCTTGCCAAGAAGGGGACCGTGAGCAGGATTCCGATATCCTCCGGGGTTTCTCCATCCGCATCGAAAAAAAAAAATAGAAAAAAAAATAAAAAGGAAAAAATAATAAAAAAAAATAAAAAAAAAAGGGGGCAAAGCCAAAAGCCAAGCCCAGGGCTCGGTGGGGCTGTGGCTGCCCCTGCTCCCCCCCGGTCCCGCAGCCCCGCGCGGGGCCCTGCGGCTGGAGGCGCGGCGGTAATTGCCCGGCTCCGCGGCCGCCCCGAGAAGCGGCGAGCCAGGCTGGCGCCAGCAGGATGCAAACTGCACATTATCGCCCCTTCGGCACCTAAATAGCAGGGGGACCTCCGCGGGGGGGGGTGGAAAAAAAAAAAAATATAGGGAAAAGGGGGTTGCTGCGTGGGTCTCCCAAGCGCCGGTGCCTGTCCCATCTTGGCTGGGCATGGGGTAATTTGGGGTGGGGGATCCCCAAACTTTGGGACTCCCTCTTAAAGCTCGGGAGCCTCCTTCCTAAACTCCAGGACCCTGTCTCCAAAGCTCAGGATCCCTCTCCAGAGCTCAGTGCGTCCTCTCCAAAACTAAAGGACCCCTCTCCAAAGTTCGGGACCCCCTCTCCAAAACTCAGGACCCCTCTCCAAAGCTAAAGGACCCCTCCCCAAACCTCAGCCCCCCCTCTCCAAACTTCAGGCCCCCGTCCCCAAACCCCAGCCCTCCTTCCCCACCACCCCCTTGCCCCCCAATCTCCACAGCCCCCCCCCCAGCTCCCCGCTTCTCACCTGGCCCACAGAGGCGGCTGAAGTGGTAGGGGTTGCAGCAGACGGTGGGGCCGTCGGCGACTCCGAAGCTCTGGCACTCGCAGAGGGGTTTGAGCTCGGCGGGGTGCTGCAGGTCGGGCCAGCGGAAAAGTTTCCCCAGCAGGAGGTGGGGGGGAGCCGCCTGGCCCCCCAAACGCACCTCGGTGCGGGCCACCAGCACGCAGCCGCTCGGCATCCCCCCGCGGGACTCCACCGCCTCCAGCAGGCTGTCCAACGAGCGCTCCTTCAGCCGCTTCAGCAGCGAGTAGGTGACGGCTTTCAGCTCCTGCTCCAGCACCAGCAGCCGAGACCGCGCCTCGCGGCCCCTCCGCTCCGGGGAACCGCCGGGGGGGGCCCCGCAGCCGCCAGCTCCAGCTCCGGCTCCGGCTCCGCTGCCGTCGGGGCTCGGGGGGGCGACCCGAGGGGCTCCTCCGGGCTGCCTCTCCCCGAACAGGCAGCAGGTCACCGTGCGCCCGCCTCGCTCCCGGCCGCGTCTCGGGTTCGCTCCTTCGGTGGCGTCCCCCCGGCGGTGCCGACCCCCCCGGCGCTCCGCCATCGGGGGGCCCCCGCGGCTTCCCCCGGCCCCTCCGCAGCTCCCTAGGGCCGGGCGGCTCCGCTCCGGGCTTTTTTCGCCGTTTTCACCGCCGGCTCCGGGCTCGCGGTCGCCGCTCGTGGCTCTTCCATCGCCGCCGTCGTTGTCGCCGTCGGGCACGACGCGGCTCCTCCACAGGCGCCGCACCAGCCCCGAGCGTTTGGACCTGAACATACGCCGAGGAGCGGGCGGCCGGGGGCCGGCGGCGCCGTTCGCCGCCCCCTGTGGCGCCGGGGCGGAGGGGAGGGGAGGGGAAGGGAGGGGAGGGGAGGGGGGGGGGGGGCTGGTGGCCGGCCGGCCGCCGCCTCTATCTCATCTCAGCCCCCTCCCGGCGGCCGGGCCCCGCTCCCCGGCTCCTCCGTGCGGCGCCCCGCCACAGCCCTGCGCAGCGACTCGCCCCCGGCCCGCGGCGGGGCTGCACCATGGGGCGGGCGGCGGGGCGGGGGCGCCGGGCGGGCATAGACGGCGCCGCGGGGAAGCTCCCGGAGCCGGGCTCACGGCCGCCCCGCCGGGCCCTCCGCCATCGGCCGCCGCCGCGCCGGGGCCGCGAAGGGAGCGGCGAGAAGGGGGCGGCGGCGGCGGCGAGGCCCGGGGCACGGGACGGGGCCGGGGGGAGGCCGAGCATAAACCGGGGGGAGGGAGAGGGAGGAGGTGGGGGGGGTGAGAGGAGGCCGGGGGGGGTGGTAGGGAGGAGAAAGGGGGGGTGTGGGGGGGGAGGGAGGAAAGGGGGAGAAGGGGAAAAATGGGGGGAAAAAGGAAAAAATGGGGGGGAAAAGGGAAAATAAAAAAAGGAGGGGAAGGGGGGAGGAAAGGGGGATTTAAAAGGGAGAAGGGGGGAAATTAGGGGAAGTTTAGGGGGAAATTAGGGGAAAATGAGGGGAAAAAGGAGGAAGATTAGGGAAAAATTAGGGGGAAAAGGGGGAAAATCAGGGGAAAAAAAGGGAAAAAATTAGGGGAAAATATCCCGGAAAATTTAGGGGGAAAAAGGAAAACGGCAAAAAAGGTAGGGGAAAAGGAGCAAAAACGGAAAACGCGAAAAAATAAGGAAAAAAATCGGGGAAAAAACGGAAGAAAAAATTAAAAAGCGAAAAAAAAAAAACCAAGAAGGCTCGGAACTAGAGACGCCGGCTTCAGGACATGGATGGCAGCGCTGAGGATCCGGGGGGCGGGCGGGGCGCTGCTGGCTCTGGGCGCTGGGTCTGGGTCCGGCTGGGCTCGGCTCGGCTCCGGCTGCCGGGGCCGCCGCTGCCGCCGCCGCCGCGCTCCGCCCGCCCTCGCGGAGCTTTTGTGTGGCTCGGGCGCGCACGCGGGGCCCCTGGCGAGCGGCGGCGCGATTGGCTGCGGCCCCATCATGTGCCAGTCTAGACACTCCGGCGGCCCCGCGCCGCGCCGCCCGTTGCGCAAACAGCGGCTCGGCCGGCCGCGCTCTTAAAGGGACACGCGCCCTTTTTTTTTACCATCACCCCCCTCCTTATTTACCTCCCCCCCGAACACCGAGCCAGCTTTGCCGCTCGCCCCCTTCCCCTCGCAACCCAGTCCCCTCGCTGCCCCAGCCCGGGCACGGAATGGGAATATGGGGGGGTTCCAAGGGGCTGCCCCCGGGGAAAGTAGGTCAAGGCGGCGATCCGGCAGCGAAAGGGTTAACGCCGCTCCTCCTCACCCCCCTCCCTCCCCTCCCGCCGGAGCCGCGGCGCCGGGCCCCGCCCCCGCGCTGCAGCGACTCGTCCGCCGTGGCAAAAGTTCAGGCTCGGAGCGCGCCCATTGGTCAGTCGGCGAGTGACGCGCGGCTCCGCCGCTTCCCATTGGCTGTTCTGCCGAGCCGGCTCCGCCCTCCCCGCGCGCCGCGGCGTGGCCGTGAATGAAAGGCGCGCCGCGGGGCCCGCGCTGGGTCCTTGTGCCCGCCGGCGGCAGCGTGGGGACAGGGGCCGTGGGGGGGCGGCGTGCCCCGGGTAGGGCCCGGTGGGGGCACCCGGAGGGGTACGGGGGAAGGGGGGCTGCCCTGCACGAATTTGACGTTTCAGTACAAAAGGAAGAAATTAAAGTGATGGAAAAGGGTATGGAAGAAAAGAAAAAAAAATAAGAATGAAATGAAAGAAATAATGAAGGAAAATAATGAAAGTTAAAATAATAAAAGGAAATCATAAAAGGAGATAGAATAGTAAAAGAAAATAAAATAATAAGAGAAAATAAAATAAAATAATAATAAAAATTAAAGTAATAAAAGAAAATAAAATAATAAAAAAATAATAAAAGAAAATAAAATAATAAATAAAATAAAATAAAATAAAATAAAATAAAATAAAATACAAATCCCCCCGCACCTTTATGCCATGGTTTATGGGGAATATCCTGTGGATATCCTGTGATTTATTGAGGTTATCGAGCAGTTGGGATGCGGTGATGGCCCCGCAGCAGCCCCAGGAAGGTGCCCCCAAAGGGCAGTGGGGCACCTTCACCTGGCGGCCCGGCCTCACAGCACCTGGAAAACTCCAGGAAGCAACAAAAAAGAAAGAAATGAACAAAATTTGTCAACCAAGATATTGTAAATCCCGGTTTGGGCAGGTTCCTGATCAGCATTTTTGGGCAGCACCTGCGGAGCCCCGGCTGCACCCGCACAGCTTTGGGTTAATGAATCCAATTTCTTATGGAAACCTTAAAACCTCCTCAGAAATGTCCTGATGGGCTTTGTGTGGAGATAAGGTCGCGTGACGGCCCCTGCCTGTCCCCGGGCGACGAACAATGGGGTTTTCACAGCGGGCACAGGTACGGGATGGAGAAACCCCAATTTCACCAGGAGTGCCACCACCTCGGGCTGGGCAACAAGGGGGCATTGTTCCACGCCCCAACGTGGGGCAAGAAAAACAGAGCCCTCAATTGTCCTCCCCGTAATGCACACATCATTTATAGTAATGTGGGTTATTAAAGGATTTTTGGTAATTAACAGCGATGTGCTCCCGCACTGCCTCTTTTCCCCCCTCTTTTTTTTCTTGGCCTGCCATAATAACAAACATTCCTGCGAGATGCTCTGGAACGCGTCCTATAGGTCTTGGCACAAAAGCTGCAGAGAAGGTTTTGAAAGCCTGCCAGCGTTATCTGACATGCATCTCCCAGGTGCTATATAAAGCCAAATCCTTGTGGGCCCGGAGGACCGTGGGTGGCCCACGAGGGCCCCGGCACTCACCTCCTCCGAGAGCCAAAATGCGGCCAGGATGGGGCGACAGCAGGGAGGGGACACGGCGAGGAACAGTCGAAGGCAACAGCAGGGCACAGCATGATGAAAATCTCCAATTTTCGAGCTCCTTGGGCTCCAGTTCTTTTTCTCTGGTCAAAGAGAAAGGCGCAAAGGTTAAAACACAAAATGAAAAATCGCCATATAAAAAGCACTTAGTTCGGTTCTTGGGTCATTCTAATGCCTTGAAAATGGGGTCGAGGTGGGGACCCCATGTTCTGGGTGCTGAAGGTTGGGTGGCCCGAGCAGGGGGCAGCAGAGGCTGGGGACACCCCATGGCCCCGTCTCACCCCGTGCCCACGGGCACCGAGCGCCTGAACCCGGCCGGAGCAGCCACGGCTCAAGTGTTGCGTGTGAGCAGGGGGCTCTGCCAAGAGCTGAAAGGCCTCGTAAAATCAGGCTGGTTTTGCTGGAAGCTGAGTTTGAAAGGAACCAGAGAAAAGAAAAAAAAAACCTCTGACAGCACCAGAAATGTCACATGTTGTTGGTTTTAATGACATCGCGGCAATTTTCCAGCTCAGGCTGACTTTTGGTGTTTTATTCTGCGCCACAACGTACCGTGATAGGACCTTGGACGGTCTTCAGGATGGAAAAAGCTAAAAGCAGAGCGAGGCCTTTGGATAAACCCAACCCCAAACCGTTTGAGGGCTTCTCCTTCGCGGCAAATTTCACAACCGCTGGGCTCGGCGCTCCCAGGCCTCGGCTTCTGGAGATGCTCCGGGCTGAGGATGTGATCCCAGCACAGAGGATGGGCATCGAGGGAACGTGGAGGCTGGTGCCCAGCACCATGCATGGGGCTTGGAGCCTGTGTTTGCTATTTTCACCCTTTCCACCCCATTTTGGCCTCAGTGTCCCATGCAGCTCGCCACCCGCGGTGGTGGGGAGCTGGTGGGGACGGCGCACACCGATCCGTGCCCACATCCCCACGCAGGGGCTGGGCAGAGTAAAGGGGTAAATAAAGGTGGGAGAGCACTGCCCCAGCCTCCTCTTGGCACGAGGAATTGTGGAAATCCCCGCACGTGGGTACAGCAGAGAGCAAATTTGCTCGGGCACCTTTCATCCAGGCAGCCCCGTCCCGTGCCGTGGTGGCACCCAGGGGGTGACGCGGGGACGCAGCAGCGAGGCTGCTCGGGGCAGGCTGGGATGGAAGCTGCAAAAAATAAAAATAAACGGGGAAAAAAATAAATAAATAAAAGATCAAAATTGGACGGAATCAGCCCACCGCTGCCTTTTGCCCGACCTGCAATTAATGAGAACGGGTTAATGGCAGCTCCGCGAGGCGAGCGCTGCGGCTGCCGCCTCTCCGGGCTCCGCAAGGCCCTTCCCACGAGTATCTCCTGTGGGTGGGACGAGCTGACTCACAGTTTCCAGGGCTGTAGTAACATTTCAACACCCCAGCGCTCCAGCCTTGGGGACTGATGGCAAAGAGCACATTCCCAGCAGAGCGCTCGGGAAGCTTTTGACAACATGTTTTCTTCTGTCAGAAAATGTCAGTGTGGCAAAACCTAATTTTTTTTCTTTTTTTTTTCTTTTTTTTGTAGCAACCTATCCGTTTCCACGAAGGGCTGTTTGGGGAGGTTGCCTGGGCTCGAGCCTGGATTTCTAGTCAAAACCACGGGGTAAAATCTTCTCCCAGCAGGTCCTCACCTGCAGGTGATGGCACCCATCCGCAGGGCTCCCGGCCCCTGGAGAGGTCCCTGGCTGCCAGCAGGGACACGGGGACATGGGGACACAGGGACACAAACTCTCCCATCCCAGGAGAAGCCCAGTCTTTAAATCCCTTCCTTGTGGAGCTGGGCCAGTTTGTATAAATGATGACGCAGTTATCCATGGAAAGAGAGTCCAATTTCCAGCCCGGAGATGTGAGTGCCCAGCTGGGATGTGGGGTCTTGGGTTCGGGTCCCCGGTTTGAGTCGAAGCTCAAGCATTTAACCCACCTGTCAGGCAAGGGCCATGAGTACAGGGCTATCCCCTGTGCTGCTGCTTTCACGTTTTTAGGAAAACGAACTCAAAATGAGCCCGATGCAACCCCCACGTCAGCCGAGAAATGATCAGCATCTTCTGCCGGTCCCCCTGGTGCTGAGATCACCTCTCTCTGAGCACACTCGAGCAGAGACTCCATAAAACCCAGCACAGCCTCGGCGAGCAGGCAGGTGCTGGGGATGGGGGGAGACCCAGCTCAGCAGCCAGCTCCAGCCACCTCTCCAAAGCCAGCTCCCAACCCCGTGGCCACCTCCTGATGCTCTCCCCCTTGCCCACACGCCAGCCCCATTAATTCACCATCACCGTATTTATTCTCCCAACCCTCTAAGGAGGCGAGGGGCTACTGCTAACATCCTCGGGTATTCCTGTGTCCTGGTTTCAGTTAGCACAGAGTTAATTTTCCTCCTAGCTGCTGTTAAGGTGCTGCCACCGGAGCTTTCAGTGTGTTTCCTGATGCCACTGACAGTGACTTTCAGTGCCCTTTTGAACCCACAGCCTAATAAAAGGAGGTGCATGGATGGAGAGGGGGAGGACATTGCCTCCTGAGCCTTTAGACCAGGAGAGCATCCCACCTGGTGGCCAGCCACCAGCAGCCACCCCTCTGGGGATGCTGCAGCGTGAGCACGGCTTGAAAGCAGCCACCCACCTGCACGAGGGCGCTTTGGGGATTTGGGAGCTCGCAGAAACCCCCTCAGCCTCAGCTCTCACTTCCCCGGTCGCAGGCAGGCCAGCAGGGCTGGCCACTGACCTCCTGTCCCGTGCTGGCTGTAGGAGCCCAGCAATATCTCACAGCACAGCCGCTGTGCTCAGGAGGAAGGGAACTGCAGCCTCCCTCACCCACCAGAGGCTGCGTCTGAAACCCACACCGCCCATAACAAACACGGGAGTTTGTCCTCTTTATCAGCATTTATTCAGCAGCCTGTGGAGACAGTCTGCCTTGCTGGACTCTTTTCCAGGCAGATAACACCCAGTTCTGAAACTGCCCTTTACTTTTTTTTTTTTTTTTTTGGTGCATTGCCATTTTCGAGGACGACCCCGAGCCCAGCACCTCCGCGGGGTATCTCTGCCCCTATACCCGCATCTACCCGCACGATTTGCAAACACAAAACTGGAAGCTCCCCAGGGAGGGCAGCGTTAAAACAAGATTATTCCCTTTGGAGACGGTCCAAAGAAAAAAAAAAAAAAGGGAGTAGAGGTGGAAGTCCAAAGGGGACGGTAATGGCCCATCAGCTGCGAGGGGCTCGGTGCGCCCGGCGGTGCTCTCCGAGCAGGGGGAGCTCCCATCGCGGGGCGGCAGGGCGAGGAGGAAGCATAGGTTGACGAAGACATCAAAGCAGAGCTGAGAAAGGTCAGATATAAATGGCAACCTGTCCGGTTGTGCACCAGTTTGCTCTTCTATTTACGACGGCGTTTTCTGGGAAGGGCTGGACAGAGCCAACTAGGGCAGGCTTGTAAAAAGATAATTTTTCTCCCTTAGAAAACACAACGACAGACAGGCTGGGCTGCTGGCTTTTCTCCCTTGCCGAGATCTGCTGCCCTGGGCAATTTGTCCTGTTGCAGCAGCTCTTTGCTGGAGTGCCTGGCGTCTGGGCTGCTCCAGAGCAGACGCCAGGCACTGGAGCAGGGAGCTGCCTACCACGGCGCGGGGAAATATTTTCTGCAGCGGTGCAGGAGCGGCTTAAAGAGCAGCACTGTTATTTCGCAGTCATCTCCAATAATAACTCGGAGACAGCAGCCGCAAGACACATTAGCAAAAGCTGCTGCCACCGACCAAAACTTCAGAGGAGGAGGAAGAGAAGTGGGAAGGGAATAGAAATAGAAATGGGGGCTGAGTCACGGGCTGGGCAGGAGGCAGGCTTCCAGAGGGGTCCCGGGATGGGGCTGTGGGACCGGCACGCTCTGCTCGGGTCCTTCCCCGGATTTCTTGCAACCTCGAAATGGGGATGTGAAGATCATTAGGGCAGAGGAGCAGAGTGTCTGCTCTGTTTTGAGGCTGGAGCGGAGGTAGCCAGGGGCAGTCGTTACTGAAATACCAGGGCGACTTCGCTTTTTGTGTTCAAGCTGTGTTTTGAGTGGCTCCGTTGGCGGCGGGCTGCAGGATCTCCAGGGCTTGCTCACGCAGAAGAATGCGAAAATGGAAAGCGGGATTAGGGAGGAAAGGAGCTCGCCCTGAAGTCATTGGCACCGCTGGCTGTGACACCGGCAGCCAGCCTAAAACCCACACCAGGACCCAGGAGCAGCAGCTCCTTCGCTCCCGTGTCAATGCCCTAACTACAGCTAATGACAAGAAGCATTTGGGAGGAGAGAAAATGAATTGTGTTAAATAAAGAAATAAATTCCCAGAGCCAGGTTGTCCCCTAGCAGCTCCTGCATCACCTCGCCCACCCGCACCGAGAGCAGCCCCAGCACCCTCGTCCCCAAGATGCGTGCTCAGGAACGACACCAACCACCCCGACACGAGTTAGAGCCAAACAACAAACATTTCTCCCAAAGCCGTAAAGCAAGGGTGGCATTTTTATTAGCTGAGGTTTCCTCCTTTTTTTTTTTTTTCCTTTTTTTTCCTTTTTTTTTTTTTTTTTATGGCCGTATCCACAAATGCTGGGAGCCAGAGGGAATTATTTGTTACTTACATTAAAGCAAGAAGCCTTCAGACCACAGCGCTGCAACCACTCCCCGTATCATTATTTTCTTCTTCTGGATTTATACGGAGCTCATTATGAAGCCTTAGCTAACGCAGACATCCTAACAATGCACTGAGTGCTAATAACTGCTAAGCAGCATTATTAATTATTGTAATTACGGCGTTTAAAATACATTTTGATTATATTAAAGAGAATACTTTCCTACTTTTCCGACCAAAAAAATCCACAAATGTAGCTTATTAACACTAATTCTATTCTTATTGGTGAGACTATTGTTAGATTTCAAAGGCAGCCAGTCTGGGCCCGAAACCCAGCCCGGGCTGCGATGGCTGCCCTGGGGGCCAGAAGGATCCTGGTGAAATCCATCAGTGGGGACCCCAATTTGGGGTGCAGTCGGGGTCAGAGGACCCTGACTTTAGGAGAGGCATCGGCACATGTGGACCCCACAGTGGGCTGATGTGTGACTGGTTGCAGAGCTCGTTGTAGGTACAGGATAGGGGTATGTAGCTACAATCTGTGTAGCTACAATCTGTGTAGGTACAATCTGTGTAGGTACAACCTGTGTAGGTACAATGTGGGGTCGCAGCCGCACTCAGGCTCTTAACCCTTGCTGCCAGAGCTCGCTGGAATTCTTCACGCCCGAGCCAGACAGGCAAATGGGCAGGCAGACACCCAGCTGCACTTTTAATTAGAGCGCTGCGGAGATAAAAAGCTTCGGAAAACAATTTTCAACAATTAAAAATAATATTCCCGGCGCTTGGCTGCCCCAGCCCCGTGTGTCCTGGGCGGCTGGGAGAGGCCAGCCAGCCGCCCCCCCCCGGCGTGCCAGGTTGTGACTGCCAGGAGAGGGCTTGCTGCCCTTCCCCTCTGCCCACCCAACGAGGGCTTTCTGCCCTTCCCCTCCGCTTGGCCGAGAGCTTTCTGCCCTTCCCCTCTGCTTCCCGGACAGTTTCTTTGCTACAAAGAGTTAAGATTTCACTTGTCGGGCTGTTTGTGTTTCTATTCACATGTCAGTGCCTGTCATTTATTTAGTCAATGGGACATGTCCAAGGGATGGAGACAGGCCGGGTTACTCATTCTGACCGTGGGTCGCCAGGCGCTGCAAACCGCCTGAGGTCATTTCCAAAGGCACCACTAACAATGAGAGGGAAGCTGGGCCCAGGAGACCTGCAGGAAACGGCGCGGAGATTAAAGACGGAGATAGTCCTCGGCAAAAGTACACGGCAGGAATGTTCCCTATGTTCTGTCAACAGAGTTTCTTCCTCGCCCGAAGACTGTCTATTTTAAGGCCGAGCTCGCACCAAAAATGGAAATCCTTGCTCGATGGCTATCAGCGGATCTTCGCTTCCCGGGGCTGCGGCAGAGCTGTGGCCGAGGAAGCCAAGCCTCCAGCTCGCCCCGCGCTGCCCGCTCCGCTTTCGGCTCCGGCTGCGCTTCCCTGGCGCTCTCCTGCTTCCAGGAAAGGGACGGAGGAGAAGCCCTAAACACCCTGGTGCAGATTTGTGGCAGGCTCAGGCTCTGAAATGAAGCCCCCGATGGCACATCTGGGGATTCCCCAACGCGGGGCAGGAGCAGAAGGGCAGTTTTGGGTGCAGAGACGCACATTTTGCCTCCCAAGCGAAACGCCGCTGCCTGCTCGTACTTAACACATCGAGTACCTCTGGGTGTTTTGGAAACCATTAATAGCAACCACATGACTGGTGTAAAACACTGATTTTTCCATCCAGACACACTATTGTTTTCAGATAAATACATTCCATCGAGCTTTTTTGTATCTGAACTTTCTACATGTGGCTTCTGGGGCTCGGGCAGATGGGGCTCGGGGCTCGACAACAATAGCGGTGGCCCAGGAGGGGCCCCCGGAGCCCGCTGCTCGGGAACTGGTGACACGGGCTAAATCCTGCCCTCTGGTGCTGCTGCGATGCTGGTGACACGGGGCAGGGGCTGGAGGTACCCGGGGGACGGGCAAAGGAGCTGCACAGGAGGTTAGAGCTGCTCCAGAGAGATAGGGAAAGGCAGCAAACGCATTTCTCAGAACGCAAACATCCATCACCGACACACACGAGAGTCTCCAAATTCCTCAGTGTTATATTTATGAAGCCATTCGGAGACATGATACAGGCCAGTTCCTGTAGATTTTTCCATGTGCTGTTAAAGATTCAAATTACAGAGCAATTTTCCGCCTTTGAAGACGTCGGGCTTCGCGGTGCAGAGCCCGGGGCTGCTGCAGGCTGGGTCTGTCTCGCTGCAGCCCGGAGATAACGCAGAGCCACCGCCAGCGCTCGGCCGCGCCGGAGTCAGGAGCGGGCCAGGAATGACAGCACCGGGGGGAATTTACTCCGCTGGCAGATAAGGAAAGCATCCTGCTCGAAGCACGGGGTAAACAACTCGTAATGCCAGCGATCTGCAGAGTCCCACGCGGCCCCGGCGGCACATCTGCCCCATGCAGAGCAGGGATGGAGCCAGCCCGGCACCGGGGTGCTTTGGGGACCCACACGGGGCTGGGTGCTCGCTGGGGCCACGGCTCCTCTAATTCGCTCTGCTTGATGCAAAAGGAAATAGAAATGGGGGGGTTTGTCACCCGGAGGAGAACGGGGGCACCCAGAGCACTGGTGGCCACTGGTGGCATTGGTTGTGCACATAGGGCTTGGGCCACCCAGATTAGAAATCACAAAAGAGTTGGGCAAAATCAGAAAGATGTTAAAAATAGATGAAAAATCTCTTTTTTTTCAGCACACAGCTCCTGACACCAATTGTTCCTGCTAGTAATCTCACAGAACTCCCTACCAAACTAAATTCAGGTGTGTTTTCATCGATAAGGGCACAGGGGCACAAGCTGGGAGCAGAAGTCGAGGCATACCAGCTCCATGGGACAACATCTGGGGCTCTCCCTGGTGCTCACCGGGTAGCTGCAGGGCTCACCCCTCGCTGCACAACCGAGGCCTGAAATCCATCCCTTAGCATGAGAGAATCACTGCCTGCCTGTGCCGCTCCTGAGCCATCCCCAGGGGCAGCTGCCGTGTTTTTGTGCCCCTGCGCTCGCAGTGGGGCTGGAGGATGCGGATCAGAGCCACCCTTCGAATCAAGCATTGGGGCTGAAACTCGCAGAGGCAGACCCCAGAACATATGGGACAGCGAGGATGGCATCAGGAACAAATCTGTGAAAACCTGCCCAAGGATCACCACCGCCTGGATGCCATCGAGCCCCATCCTGTCTGCTCTCCCCAGCCCTTTGCCTCGTCATGGGGGCACGGCAGAGCCAGGAGAGGAGCCGGAGGAGCAGAGCGAGCAGCTCGCGAGTTCAGAGACTGATTTACAGCCCAGGCCCCGGGCAGATCACTGGCTGGGTTTGTGGTTTCATTTCCTCATCTCCAGAATCGCTGCCGATGTGCGAGAGGGAATTAACATTCAAACTTTGCTTTCAATAAATGCTTGAAGATTCATTTTGTGTTTTATGAAGCTTTCGGAAAGATTTTGGAAACCTTCTGCCCTTGCATGAGGGTCGCTCAGCGCCAGTCCTTGCTTTGGAGCGCCTCTCCCTGCGGTGCCAATACCCCTGCTGCAAAGGGTTTTCCTTTCATTGAGTAAAAATTGAGCTGCCTCAAAAGTAAAGGTACCTGAAGGAAGATTCTGCAAGTTCCCCGCAGCCCTGGACACCACCGGGACATTTGAAGCATGACAATTCCTCCATAAACCAAAGCAGGTCCAGACCAAACAGATGGGCTGAGGGTCAGCAGGCTCTGAGTGACCCTAAAAAACTCCACAATTCTTTATCTGCGAGCGCAGCTTCAGTACAAACCCTGTTTTCTACCATCCCTGCAGGATCTGGAAGTGAAAGCGTGGCCTTCCAGCTCCTCTGTGCTGAGGCCAGTGGAAATTTGGTGCGGGTTTCACCCGAGGACTGCGCACACTTCGGGCTCGGCCTGTTTATTGTTAACCTCATAAAAAAACATCAGGGTTTTTGCAACTTGAAAGTCTTTCTAACTTCATAAAATATGTGAATGCTTAAGAAAGAATCTGGGCCCAACTGCAGAAGTGATGACTAACAAGGAGGAATCTCGTGGTGTTCAAAGCGAGCAAAATGAGCTGGCGAGCCGTGGCATAATGAGTTAATTTGCCTCGCAGCCTACCTGGTGCCCAGCGCCAGCTCTCGCTCCCGCAGACGTCGCTGGTGATGGGTCATAGGCTCCTCCACCCAGATGAGTGATTTTAAGCAAAAGATCCAAAATTAGCTGTCTCAGACATGCACCAGCCCGAGGTCGGTCACTTCCTCGTAATATGGATGCTGAATTTCTAATAGAAGAGAATCTGAGTGTTTCAAAATGACACGTTTTGGTACTTTGAGGTGAAATAATCTCCATTTCTAAATGACATTTCTTTCTATTTTTAAAAGGCTGCGAAGTTTTGCGAGCAAATCCAACCATGCATTCAACCAAAACAACATTTTTGTTCAAAGCCTCAGTTCCCAGAAAAGTTGTAAACCGCTTTTTTTTTTTTTTTTTTTTTAATTCAGAACTAGAACAAACCTTTTCCCCAAGACTTTGGAGCTGCCAATAATCCATTCTTATCCCAGATTTGATGTTTTCATAAAACTGCTGGATCTTGAAGATGCCATTAGGTGGATGCCTTGCTAAGGTCCGTGCCATTTTGTAACTCCCCAAACTCATCTCAGACTTCAGCACCCCTGTCCGAGGGATGTTTACAGCTTTTTCTTTTTCCTCCATAGGCAAAATTAAGCAAAAAGCTAAAACTGATGAAAGGCACATTGCTGTCTGTCATAAGGGGCGTACGTTGAAATATGGCAGTGAAAAAAGCCAGCTCTGCTCAAACCACTGCAGAATCCCAGCGGAACGAGGCACGTGAAGAATATTTTATATTTAGTCAGAGGAGGGGAGAGGCAGGAGCCGGACGATGGTGGGTTTTTGTGATGAAGAACATTTCCAGGGAAATCTCCCTGCCATGGGAATAGCTCCACGCTTTATTTTTATAAAAAATAAAGTTTCACAGCTCCAGGTTACTTTGGAGAGCTGCAGCCATCCCACTTTCTCTGTTTATCATATCTTTATCAGCCGGGACGGGAAGAAGACATGTAAGTCATAATCACCACTCACGAAAACACACCACCAGTGGCGAAAAGAAACAACATCCCAGTGCCCGGGCAATCCTGGCTGAGAGGTCAATTCCCACGCTCCCTGGAAGGAACAGAACCTGCCTGCATGGTGCTCGGCCGGGGTCTTTACCTGGCTCTTCTCTATCTCCTCTGCTGTCCTGCTGCACTTCCCTGCTGTGCTGCTGCCCTTCTCCTCTGTCCCGCTGCCCTCCTCCTCTGCTGTCCTGCTGAATTCTCTCCCGGTGTCTGTCAGTAGCTGGCCACCAGCTGTGAGTAAGGCAAGGGAATGGAGCTGTGCTGATTACGGATGGAAACCAAGGGCAGAGGGCAAAGGAGTGAACAGGTTCTCGAACAGAGGAGCCACAAAAAACTCAGGTTTAAGTGGTGCTTAAAAGCCGCAGGGCACTTTGTGGGGGGAACGAGTTTCCCTGCCTGGCACCCACCTCGCAAACAAGGTGCTGCCCGTGGGGTTCGCCCTCAATTCTTTTGCTGAATGTGTAAACCAGTGCCTTGGCCTCGCTTTGTGAAGAAGGAGCCACATTTCACTCCTGAACCCTCTCCTCTCTGTGCCTCCTGTCGCAGAGCATCCCCGAGGAGGCCACGTCGCTCTCCTCCAGCAGCGAATGCTCCAAGCCAAATGCTGGCCTTAGCAGGGAAGAAAAATGCAGCACCCAACCTACAGACAGCACCACAGCTCCAGAGGAAGCAGAACAGGACGAAGGCTGCCTGCCAGATCCTGCTCCAGGTGACACCTGAAGCCACTGAGTTCTCTGGAGCTGTGCTACAGAGGCTGAGGCCGGAGTCTAGAAACAATTCTGGAACGGGATGAACGCAAAAATGACGCACAGCTGTGAGACCGACAGAAAAGGCTGAACACCGAGCACAGGTACCGTTCTGGAATGGATTTCTGAAAGATCAGAGGGGCTTAGTCCTTTTCCTTTTTACAGTTTATACAATTAAGAGATGTCTTGGTGAAACAAGAAACAGAACAAGCCAGATGTTCAACTCCCAGCACTCACAAACCATGAAGTAGCACCTGCCCTTCTCCCCACTTCTCAAAATAGAACCGAGACTGAAAATCAGCCATTTTTAAAATGACACATTTCTTCCACTCAAAATCCCCCAATAGCTACCCATTTCATTTTCTGCTAGCATCCCCTTCAACACGAAGGCACAGCAGTGTCATTTTGACATAGCAGCTGCCTTTGGATGGCGTTAGGAAACCCCACGGCTGCCCCTGTGGTGGGTCACCTCTTCCTGCTGCTCTTTTCTTAAGTGGTTGCTTGGCCGGTGCCTTCACTATCATCATTTCTCCTTGCCTTTGGCCTTCAAAGCGTGTTGTTTGTGGATTTCAGCTGACAGACTGGGAAAGCGCTCGCCGTCCCTCCCCGCGGAGCCGGGCTTTGCCTCTTCCCCCAGCTTCATGTGACTGCTTTGTAGGAACTTGCTTTGGCACCATCAGATTAGTCGCTGTTAACATCACTGATCCCGCGGAAGGTTCTTCCCAGTGAGCAATGAAACATACCTAATCCCGGCAGATTAAAGAGGAACACGTTTCATCATCCCTCCCTCGGCTCCAGCCGCGGCGTTAGGAGCCTGGCACCGTGGCGAGAGGCTTTGCCCTTGTGCGCTGCCCGTAGCTCCATCGCATCGCAGCAAGAGCTGGCATCCGTGACAGACACAGATTTCAGATATATGGGGATGCTGAGGGGTGAAAACAATTTCCACGGTGTTTTTTCTTGAAGCTGTTGCAGAGGCTTTGTACCCGGTGGCAGCACCCAGTTTTTGGGGCACGCTTCCCATGTCCTTGCCCCTCCGCCGGCTCAGCCAGCCCTGCTGCTGCTGCTCCAGCCTCCCCTGTGCCCTCCTCCGGTCTCACTTCGGGAGATCGCTCTTCACATGGCCTTCTCCAGCATCCATCTGCTGTGTTTTAAACTGGTCTTTTAAGAAAAGCTCTTGCTTCCATAGCAGGAGCTGCAAAAAGCAGAGCTCAGCATCTGTCTCTCTAGCAGCGGGGCAGCAGGCACGGGGCAGCGCGTGTGGCAGGCTCTGTGACAGCCACCGTGCACCAAGGGAAAAGCCAAAGTGCAAGCTCAAAAGGGACGACACCAAAGGATCAGTGGGCAGGATGGAAATATCATGTTAGAAAAAGCTTGAACTGGAGGCTGTGCTTTTTGTTACCAGGAATCCGATCGCGAGGCAAAAATCTGGAGGAACCCAGATTGTTCCAAACCATGTGCTCCTCGTGGAGCAAATTATTTTTATTGCCACAATAAATGGAAAAGGTTCTACCTCCAGAGCTGTGGGGGAGTACCAAGGGTTTTCCCTCTGGAAAAGGCAGAGACCAAGGGCTGCATGAAACAACTCCCTCGAGCCTCGGTCTCTCCCCATCCCTTATTTCACCTGACTCGAGGGCTGCGTGCTCCTGGAGCAGAGGCTCTCCTGTGCATGCCCGTGGCACCACCAGCTCCTGCTCTCCAGGCAGACCCTGGCAGGACCAGAACATAACCCACAAAGGCTCCCAGCGAGGTCCCTGCTGTTCTGAGACGTGGCTGGCCCCAGGGAAGCCAGAGCAGAGTCAGCACAGGCTGGCTGCAGCCTCCAGCACAGGGCAGAGCCCGGATGGGACAGCGGGAACCAGTTCAGATTCAAACCAAGCTTCTCACTTGCCACCAAAACAAGCATGCTACGGACTTGCTATCCTCCCCAAACCACAGTGTTGTTTTAATGACCTTCCATTTAGGCATTAAGGAGTGAAATGCCTAATCCTGTTGAGCGTGTAGGCAGGTGACTCACTGCCGTGGCGCTGGGAACTACCTCCCTCCTGGCAGCTGCTCCGTGCGCAGCCTTCAAAATGGCAGGGCTTGAATCTGCTAAGTGAAAATGATAAATAAAGGCTAACTGCAGGTAATGTCACCTGTGCGTGTGCAATAATATTGTCCGAGTTGCCAAGCAACTAACGGGAGGTGCGGTGAAAGGAAGAGATAAAACCTCCTGAGCACAGGTATGCGCTGCGGCCGCTGCACGGGGACTCTGCTGGTGCTGGCTGTATCAGAGCTTGCCCAGAGGTTTCCATCACGATTTCTTCTGGAAGAATAAAAAGGAAAAGGAGCCCAATGACTTACAGCAACCCAGGACATACAAGTCCCTGAGAGTCCTGCCCCTGGAAGCGCTGAGCTTTCAGCCAGGCTGGAAATGAGCAATGCGGTGGGACAAAAGTAATGCTGGCTCTCCTCATCTCCCACAGGGTTGGGGTCCTCTGCTGCACGCCATGGGGGTCTTGAAGGCAGCTCCTCGAACCCTTCCCGTGATATAAGGAGCAAGCAAAAAAGCAGAGACAACCCGTGGCTGCACACCTAGGTGTGTGTTTAACTGCAGCTGTTGTTCATGTAAGCACTTGTTTGTGCACATCTGTGCACGTTGCAAGGTGCTACTTGGGCAATTAATGGGGTGAGCTAGCCCCTAATGGGTTTTCATAAGCAGAGCCCAAACCACGCAGCCCTCTCTTGCAATTCCCCAAACAACAAGCTGCCGCCTTCCAGCTGAAAAAGGATAATTGCATTATCAGGAAGGACTTGAGAGCTCTCAAGATCTCCCAGGAGATGTTCTGGAGCTAGCAGGATCAGGTCCTAGGCACGCGTGATTCACTGACATAAACAGTGGTCTGCGTGTTTAAACTTGGCTTTCGGATTTGCTCCCAGGAGCAAATGGCCCACGCTCCCTGCAGCAGCATCAGATGGGATGCCCAGGACATACAGGTGGCTGTGACGCCCCTCGAGACAGCTTCCTGCAGCGAGCACATGCCACCCTGCTTCTTTTGGGTGTGAAACTGGACATTTCTACATTCTAGAGCTGCTTCTGAAACCTGGCCCACCCCATGCAGAAATAAGGCTCCTTGTGACCAGCAGGGCACAGAACCTGCTGCAGAGGTCATGCAGAGCTGCAGCCAGAGGCTGCCACCCAGCAGTCGTGCCAAAAGGGGATTTTTTTCTCTTTCTTCCTTTCTGGACACCCTTTTGGCTGCTCTCCTCTGGCTGGAGGAGGTGATGCTCCAGACCCAGAGAGCCGTGAGCTGGGAGACAGCAGGATGTGAGAGCTCGTGCCGCCCATCAGTTCCCCCAGATGTTGCTCGTTTCTAGTTTGCATTAAGCAATGCATTGCACATGAGTTGTGCATTTTAAGAAACCGCTCTGACTTATCTCTGGCTTCACACGGCTTGTTAAATTGGCAAGCTGAAAGAAATCGGACACAAACTCAAAGTGACATCTCCGTCATCTCCCTGCAAAACTACTGGCGTACAGTTCCTCCATGGAAAGCACAAAGAAAACAAGTACAATATTAAAAAAGAAAAAAAAAAAAAAAAAAAAAAAAAAGAGCAGAAGAAAAGCACCCAGCAAGAGAAGAGCAAAACAAGCCCCAAATAAATGCAACACAATGAGCCCGGGCACGTTAGATACCCAGAGCAACGTTTGCTGCAAATGTCACCCTATTTTTACTTCTATTTTTCTGCTTGCAGATCTTTTGGGCTGCATGGCAAGGTGGACGTGCTGCGGGTGACACCCAGCTGTGCCACCTGCCCGGCCACCTCCTCGTGGCGATGGCACGGAGCAGGAGCCACCAGCAGCAAGCAGCCACCAGCCAGGGCCCGGCTCCTGGGTTTGGGGGCTGAAGGTTAAGGATTCTCAGTAGGAGGCTCTTTTGTGCCGACAGTTATGAGTCTCGGAGGCTCTGCAGACGTCTCTATCAGTCCTGGCCATCGCTCAAATCCTTGCAAACAATGACTAACAGGAGCCCACACAGAGCTCTGATGGAGCGCACCACCGCCGGCTGCCCTGCCAGCTGGGCCACGCCGCCTTGGCCATGGGGGCTTCCTGGTGGGCAGCAGACTATTTGTGCCAAAGGGTGGCACACACGTGCTCGCTTTAAACCCG